CCAACTCCCAGAATTCCCCAGCCAGCATTCGCTGGCTGGGGAATTCTGGGAGTTGGAGTCCAGACATCTTCAAGTAGCCAAGGTTGAAAAACACTGATTCTAACCTACCACAAAGTGCCCACGCACTGAACGTCTTCCCCAACAAGAGGGTCCCCCCGCAGGTAACAGTCCAGCAAGACGCGGTTTGATTGGCTGCGGGCTCCGTTGAAAAAGTGCGGGGCGGGAGGCGGGCAAGGAGACTCGGATTCTTTTGTCACGTACCTTGCGGAAGGAACCGGAGTTGGCGGGGAGCGCGCCGCGAGGCTTCCCAAAGGCAGCGCCGCGCAGGAGGGGGCTCCCTTCCTCCCCAATCCTATAGTCTGGGATCGCTTGACCCCTTCTCCCAAAGCTCGTCAGGCGGAGGGTGGAGGCAGGAGCTGACCTTCCCACCCACTTCGGCCGCACTTAGTTTGCCGCGCCGCGCGCGTCTCTTCCAAGTCAGCCACCGCCGCGTCGCCTCTTCTTCCTCCCCGCCTCCCCCAACCACTCCTCCTCCTCCTCATCCCAGAAAAGCTCGCCACGCCGCGGGTCCGCCGGCAAAAAGCCCAGCAGGCCTCAGGTTCCACGCCGTCTCTGCCCCCTCCCGCTGGGCTGAGGCTCGCTCGGAGTGCGCAGTGCCTCTGCAACGACGGCAAGAGCCGAAGGAACAAGCGGTTCGCTCGGGGCTGGAGGAGGCAGGCGGCGGGGGCAGCAGCAGCATCAGCGGCGGCAGTAAAAGCAGCATCAGCGGCGGCAGTAAAAGCGGCGGCGGCTGGCGGCGGCGACTCCTCCCCTCGCCCTCTCCCTGCTCTCCCCCCTCGGACTCCCCGCAGGCGGCAGGATGGTGGCCGTAGCCCTGCAGCCCTCTGCGGGCCGCGGGGCGGGTCTGTAGCTGGCGTGGGGTGGTGCCCTTTGCAGCAATCGGGAGCCGAAGGCGCCGGGCGCCGGGCGCAGCGCAAAGCGCCCGCGCGCCCCTTCTCCTCTCGCTCTCCATGGACGGGGGAGCGGGAGGTGGCCCCGGGCTGCCCGGTTCGGAAAACCCCAACCGCGCCGTGGAGTATCTGCTCGAGCTCAATAACATCATCGAGAGCCAGCAGAAGCTGTTGGAAACCCAGCGGCGGCGGATCGAGGAGCTCGAAGGGCAGCTGGAGCAACTGAGCCAAGAGAACCGGGACCTGCGGGAAGGAGACCGAGAACGGGAACGACACCGAGAACGGGACCGGGACCGGGACGGGCAGTATCACCACAAGGAAAGGGAGAGCCACTATCCCAACCGCACCGACCGAGATGGGCAGTACCAGAACCGGGAAGGCCAGTATCCCAACCGCGAGAACCGGACGGAGCGCGAAGCTCAGTACTCGAACCGAGCCGAGCGCGAGAGTCAATACCAAAGCAGAGCCGAACGGGAAGGGCAGAACCAGTATCAGCAGCACCGGGACAAGGAACGAGATCTACCGCACTATGGAAACCGCGATGGGCAGTACCAGAACCGGGAGAGCCACTACAGGGAGCCCTGCCAGTTGCATCGAGACCGGGCGCCGCAGTGCCATCAGGCTCGGGAGAAGGAGCACGAGTACCCTCGGCCACCCCGGGAAAGGGAGAGGGGGCAGCTGAACCGCGGGGCGTCGCGGAGCTCCAGCCCTGGGGCGGGCGGAGGCCACAGCACCAGCGCCAGCACCAGCCCGGCCACCACGCTGCAGAGAAAGTAAGAAGCTGGCCCGAGCCTTGGCAAAACCCCCTGACCCAAGTGCCCTGCCTCCTCCTCCCTCTCCTTCCCGGTAGCTTTCCGGCCCAGGGCAGGCAAATCCCAGGAGCTCTTTGGGGTTGAGGCCACCATTGGTGAACGCTGACTTGAGCCGTGTACAGTCAGAGAATCTGTGTGTGCAACATCACAAGGGACCACGGGGAACCCTTTGGCGGATGGTGCGGTGCAGTGCTTGGGGGAGGGGGGAATCAAACCATGATAGGTCCCCTCTCTTGTCCCCTTTCTGCCCTATGTTGTTCCCTCCTGTCTAGAATTTGGATCTGGTCACAGTTAACAACTAAACCCTGCCCCCCCCCCCCATAGATACATGGACACACGTCAACTGCCTCCATCATCCATAATTAGGTGGAGGGTCCTCTGCTATGCCACCCTCACAGTGGGGTCTGATTTTCCTTACTAGATCTCTGCATTGGACCCGGCTGTGGGACCCCCCTCCTTCCCCCCCACTGCAGGCTGCTCCTTGGCTAGTTGCCCAAAAGCTCCTGTGGCCCATTCTCCTTCTTTGGCCCTTCAAACTTACTTTCAAGCACCACTTTCCCTGATTCAGCACATGTCTTTTTCTTTCTTTCTTTCTTTCTTTCTTTCTTTCTTTCTTTCTTTCTTTCTTTCTTTCTTTCTTTCCTAACTTGCCAACCTGGATTCTTTCCCTTCAATACCTTGCTGGGGTTTCTTTCTTCCCTTTTCTGCAGAGAAAGGGAAGACGCACCAAAGGTCTTCTCGCTGCAGTGGGCCACTCCGGGGAGTGCTCTCTCTTGCCAGCCTGACAGCGTTCACCCCCTTCTAAAACCCCAAATTTAAATTCCACGTTCGTACCTTCTTAAAAAAAAAAACTCTGAATTCCTTTCTTTTCATATTGGGGCTCCTAAATATTTCCCTCCACGCCTTGTACGGCTCTTCCCTTCCTCCCCATAGAAACCCACAGAGGGCACAGAGTTGTTCTTAAATGAAAAGCACATAGCAACCCCCAGCTACCTTCTGTTTATTGAATCCTGAGATGAATTCTTCTTTTTAATTGCAATGGCAATACTGGGGGAAATCAGAGGGAAGAAGCTTTCAGTGGAGTAAAATCCTCTTCTTCTGCAATGTACTGTGTTCTTTCTTTCTTTTTTTCGTTTGGGACATGTTTAGTAAGGCCTGCTGCTTCGTGCCCGGTTTGCAGTAGCCCTATGCACTTGTATCCATGTCCCTTTTTGTCTTGCCAATCCTTAGTGGCTAGTCTTTCTTCAGAGCTTCCTCTAACGCAGTGTTTCTCAACCTTGGGGACTTGAAGCTATGCTGGCTGGGGGATTCTGGGAGTTGAGGTCCACAGGACTTCAAGTCCCCAAGGTTGAGAAACACTGCTCTAATGGGATAACCCCCAACCTGGACATTGAACTGGGCCTGGTGGAACGTGACTTCCGTTAGCTCCAGCAGAGACAGTTGGTGTTGAACTAAGGCACAAGGGACTAGGCATGCATGAGATGTGGGCGTGGGATGGTTCTGTATGGGCTGTGTATACCATGGCATGTGCTGAGGATTGAGTTCAAAATATGGTCACAGGGTGGGGAAGAGATGTAGTTGATTTAAGGTGCAACTGAAAACGTTTTTTTTATTGAGTTTTAGAAAAGAGCAGAGCCGAGAAATCTTGCTGTCCTTCAGATGTGTTGAACTGCAATCTCATCATCCATATCAATGCAGCCACAAAGTGTTGGGAATTATAATATATCTATTCTGGGGGGGAAGCAGCTTTGAAAAAAAAACGAGTCTAGTTGCTAGTGTGAGAGAATCAATTATAATAATCACACATTTGGCACTATCTACGTTATTACTGGAATAGCTACAGCCATGTAAGATAGGCCATCAGCACTACATTCTTAATGAACATTTGTAGGAGAAGAGTGACGTGCCTGAAGCCTTCAAAATGAGCTGTTGTCAGAGGCAGCATTCGCACCCATGATCTTATACCTCCTTGCAAAAAGATCGATTTTTGTTTTGTCCGCGCTTCTCTCTGGGATGAAATGAACAAACTCCAAAGCCATGTACACCTCCTTAAACTTCATTTAAGCTCTCTCTGTGTAGCTGAAATTTTGGCAATCTGTTGCCGAAGATCAGAGGCCCAGCTTTGAGATGAATGACACAACCACATTGCTATGTATATAGGATTGGTTGAGGATTATGGGGATTGCAGTCAGACCCATCCAGAGGCCCACCAGTATGGGGAATGCTGCACTAGGGTGTCTGATTTAATGCCATGCCACCAGATTCTGTGCTCCATTAATGGATAGTTCCTAGCTGGAGAATCATAAGAGTTTGAATTCCTAGCAGCACTGCATCTGGGACCTTGATTCCAGAACAGGATTGATTATCCTGGTCCACAAGCTTGGATTGAAAGATAGGAAGCAGCTAGGCCTGAACAATTAAGCATCTTTTCCTCAGAAAGAATGGAAGGATAGGGGTGGCTTTGTGGAGTAGGAATTGATGGATCCAGCCATTCCTGTTCTCTCCCCTCACTGCCGCCTCCTTTCTCTGGTTAGAAATTAGCAAAGTGGTTTGATGCTGCAAATGACTTAAAATCAGCACAAATGTGTCTTGCTATTCCTGCCCACTCCCTACCAACACTGGGGAGATATTTTTTTTAAAAAAAGCCTGAAGTAGCAATGCGAGTGGGGTGGGGGGAGGAATGACTGATCCTTTTCTCCATGCTGGCAGAAATCTAGAAATGACTAGAGATAGTCCTCTCTTTCCTCAATCTAACTAATAACTCTCACTTTCCTTTCTGTTTTTATTCTGAGCAGGGAAAAGGATTCAGTCTTCTATGGTCTAGTTAGTGACTGCGGTTAGTGTAGCTTAATAGTTAAAAGT